TTTGTTACAATAAACACTAATCATTCATTAATGCCTGCCTCAGCTCATTCTTAGAAAAGACTACAAAAATGGCGACAAGGATGGGATGCCTGTCTGAAAGCTGAGGAAGAACAGAGCCGGAGGTATTGTTGTTCCTTTTTGTTACCTCAGGAAAGACAAGATGTCGACCGCCCCATCATTCCTGTGTTTCCACCCAACGTCAGAGACTTGGGAATCATACATTAATCGTTTTGACTGTTTTTTAGATGCTACTGATTTGTCTGAGATTTCGAACCATAGGAAAAAAGCATATTTCTTAAGCTTTTGTGGGGCTGTGGTTTTTGATACCGCCACAGCGCTGTTGGTGCCACAGACTGTTAAAGTGGTATCCTGGGGAGTTTTATAAGAACTTTTAAGTAATCATTACTCACCTAAACCATCTAGGATCGTGAGGCGGCACGCATTCAGGAGATGAGTACAAGCTGAGGGAGAGACTATCAGTACCTACAAGGCCGCTCTCCGAAAAGCGGCACTACATTGCGGGTTCCGGGATCTTGAGGATCAATTGCTTGATCAATTAGTATGTGGTGTACAAGATCTCAGGCTTCAAAGACACTTGCTTTCCAAGGGCGGTTTAACCCTTAAGATGGCTGTTGAGGAGTCTCAAGCAGCAGAAATGTCAATTCTCTCTGCTGCCGAGATACAAGGCTCTAATAGCAATGCTACAAACAAACCGAGCACTGCTGTGCATTATGATGACAGTTTCCCTGACGAAAATTCTGAAACCGACAATGATGTAAATCGCCTCAGAGGGCAGCCCCCACCACAGCAAAAGAATTGGATTCCTGATAACAAACCTCTGCAACCACATACAACCTGCCTGAGTTGCGGTGGTAGTCATTTAAGATCCACATGCAGATTTAGAAATGTAATTTGTTTAAAATGCCAAAGAAAGGGACACATAACTAGGGTTTGCAAATCTGGAAAAAACTTTAATCCACAATACCAACCTCAAGTTAGATCACAAAAACAAAAAGAAGAATGTTTTACTATTACTAAGGCTTCTTATAATTCTAAGTCACCTAAAAAAATTTCTAACCAGATTTACACTAACAAAATTCATGCAACTGTCTCCTTAGAAGGAAAGAAGTGTCCAATGGAAGTTGATACTGGCTCATCATTATCCATTGTACTTTAAAAAGGTTAGTTCTTGCCATCACAAAGAAACATCTCCAGCCATGCAAACCGTCCCTAAAAGACTACCAAGGGTGCTCTATTCCAGTAATTGGCACAGGAAAATTTAGTATCCAATTTCAAAATTTTGAGGGACTACTTCCTCTCACAATAGTAGAAGGCATCCTGCCAAGCCTATTAGGGTTAGACTGGTTTAAATCTTTGGGATTTACAGTATCTGGAATACATTCCATTCAGGATCTGGATTTACAAGCCTTATTAAATGACTTTAAAGAGGTTTTTAGTGACAAATTAGGTCAATATGTAGGAACTCCAATCTCATTTACCTTGGACCCTAACATAGCACTGATTAGGTTAAAACCTAGAAGAGTTCCTTTTGCATTAAGATCTAAAGTTGATGCAGAGTTGGATAAAATAATAGCCCAAGGGCTTCTAGAACCCATAGATTTTGCTGAATGGGAAACCCCTATTGTGACACCTTTGAAGCGTGATGGTTCTATCAGGATTTGCGCAGACTATAAAAGTATCATAAATAAGGCCTTGCAAGCCAATGCTTACCCAATGCCAATAATTCAACATTTGTTGTACTCACTGGGAAAGGGGTCTATTTTAGCAAAACTAGATATGGCTCAGGCCTATCAACAGTTACCAGTTGACAACCTTACAGTGGAGGCACAGACTATTGTCACCCATCATAGTGCTTTCAAATGTACTAGATTACAATTTGGAGTTTCAGTAGCACCAGTTATTTCAATGCCTTATAGAGAGACTACTTCAACCCATTCCGGGGGTAGTACCCTACTTTGATGATATTCTTATTTCCACATGCAACAAAGATGAACTTTTCAAATGCCTCAGAAGGGTCCTAACGTGTTTCAAACAAGCAGGTGTGAAATTGAAGAAAAACAAATGAAAATTTGCTGTCAACCAAGTAGTTTTTTTGGGATATCGCATAGATGCTAAAGGTATTCATCCCATTGAATCCAAGGTAAGAGCTATTAAGGATGCCCCTACACCATCCAACAAGACTGAGCTGCAGGCATTTTTGGGGCTCCTAAATTTCTATAGCACTTTTCTTCCGTATAAGGCTTCAGTGGCAGAGCCATTACACAGATTATTGGATGCGAAGGCTTCCTAGTCATGTGGGCCCAAAGAAGAATTCTCTTTCAATGCTGTCAAAGCTCTGTTGTCATCTGACAGTGTGTTAATACAATTTGACAGGGATTTACCTTTGATACTTTGCTGCGATGCATCCCCTTTTGGGATAGGCACAGTGCTGGCACACAAATTGCCAAATGGTCTGGAAGCACCGATAGCATATTTCTCTAGAACTTTATCAAGTACTGAGAGAAATTATGCACAGATCGATAAGGAAGCCCTAGCAGCAGTCGCTTCCATTAAAAAATTTCAGTGTTGTCTCCAAGAATGATGAGGTGGATAATATTCTTTGCTGCCTACTTTTATACATTAATACATAGAGCGGGAAAACACCTTAGTTATGCTGACGCTTTGAGCCATTGTCCCTTACCAACCCTTGTAATTGACCCCGCACCATCATTAACTGTGTTTTCTTTGGATGATCAACAATTACCTCTGACTGCAGCAGATATTGCTCAATGTTTGTCGAAAGACCAAGTAATATTACCAGGTTTTGGACTGGGTGAGAAGCGGTTGGCCCAAAAGAAAATTAGACACCAAATTCTTAACTTTTAGAGCCAGGCAGCATGAGATGTCGACCCAACAGGAGTGTTTATTGTGGGGTTGCCGTGTCATTGTCCCTAGCAGGTTGAGATCTGGGATAATTGATAGTTTACATGAAGGACATCCGGCTATTGCCAGAATGAAGGCACTGGCAAGGAATTATGTCTGGTGACCAGGCATAGACGCAGACATAACTACTAGTGTAAGGACATGCCAGGCATGTCAACTATCGCAGCCTCCCCCACCAGCTGCCAATCCAGGGGAATGGGAATTGGCTAAGTTCCCATGGTCATGAGTCCACATAGATTTGGCGGGCCCTTTCCACAGCCGCATATTCTTAATTGTAGTGGACTCTTATTCCAAATGGGTTGAGTTGTCCCTCATGCATTCTACTACTTCGACAGCTGTCATAAAAGCATTAGACCGTTTGTTTGCAACTCATGGTTTTCCAGATGTTCTTGGTTCAGACAATGGTCCACAATTTGCATCAGCTACTTTTGAATTGTTTCTAGCTAAAAAGGGGGTCTGACACGTTCTGACAGCCCCTTTTCACACAGCAGCGAATGGGCAAGCTGAAGGGGCTGTAAGGGCAGCCAAGGAGGTTTTAGGCAGACTCGAGGGAGATGATTGGCACTCAAAATTAGCCACTTATTTACTGTCTCAACATATAACCCCCATCTCAGTGACAAATTGTTCTCCAGCAGAGCTGCTGATGAGAAGAGGCTTAGGAATAATTTAGATAGGCTCCATCCAAGCTACTCTCCTTCAATTCCCTTAGATTCCTTTAGTCAGGTGAGGTTGTTCCAGGTAAACGACCCTGTATATGCTAGGAATTTTGGGGGTAATCCTCTTTGGATTCCAGGGCAAGTGGTGGCTGTCACAGCCCCAGGTCGTATAAAATTGGGTTGCAAGATGGCAGAATATGGCGCTGCCATATCGACCAATTGAGAGGTCGTTGGGGCTCATCCCAAAGTAACTCAGAGGAGAAAGAACTAACAGAGGGGATGTGTTGTAGAGATAATGAACTGGAGTTCGAGACACCAATGAGTGATGCACGTGCTGAAACAAACCTACCAGATGAAGAGTTCCTGTGAGATTCCAAGTCGGCAAGAAGTCCAGCGCCGCCAGTTCTGGAGAGTTTGGTGACAGCCAATCCATTCCAACCATCTGAAAAGACTGAACTGCACAGGTCGGGGCGAGAGAGACAACGCCCCACCTATTTAAATGATTATGCGTGCTCCTAGTTGGGGGAAAGGAGTATTGCGTTCTTCGGAAGTTCCATTGTTGGTCCGCGTTTTAAGCGGGAGTTCTGTCTGTTCCTATTGGCTGAGCAGTCTGACAGCAAACTATAAAAGGGAGCTGTCAGATGGCAACAGCTGTTACCCCTCAGCTAGCCAGTTCGGCAACATATCGGCTGACATAGGTAACTTGTTTCTTCGTTACAATAAACACTGATCGTTCGTTAATGCCTGTCTCAGCTCATTCTTAGAAAAAACTACAAACCCACCACAGGCCCATACCATAAGCATCCCAGTGCTACTCTCTGGCCTGTCTATAATAGACAATTTACCCTGAAACTTTTGTTCTTCCCTCTAGAGCAGTTTTGGTGTAACATATTTGACCAGATCAGGTTGCACAGCATGGTTGGTATTAACCTTGGTAAGATAATTTTGTGATTTAGCACCTGGGTGGTTTGTGTTGTTTTCATGTATTGTGGAAACTGAGCAAATGGCTTAATTTGGCAACCTGGTCACACATTGTTACTGGGAATGTCGCTGATGCTTCCATCCTGTGAGTCCTCGCCACTCAGAATTAATGGTCACTGACTTGTTAGAAAAACTCAAATGGAATTAATAGCTTCCTTATTTCCCACATCCCCGCCAAACTCCTTGTCACAGGAGCCATTGCAATTAGGCTTGTATAGATCACACACACAAGATGAAAGGCACATTCCTATGCCATCAATGTCTTTCGTTGGAAACTATCCAAATTGGCTTGATTGCTTTGCCTGCTTAATCATCACATATAAGCAGTTGGCATCCTCAGATGAAGCAAGCAAATATCGCAAAAACACATATACCAGGAAAGAAGCAAGAGCAATATTTTGGCTTTGGTATCAGTTAAAGATGGAAGTGAGCCAGTTCCTGATTGCTACAGGAATATGCTTTCTGATAGTGCAGTTCATAATGCTTCTTCAGACACGAAAGAAATTCCCCCCTGGACCTGTCCCTTTCCCTCTTTTTGGAAGCCTGTGGAGAATTGGATGGAAGATCCGCCCTGATACATTCATGAAGGTATTTTGCAGTGGTGGGATTCAAATTTTTTTACTACTGGTTCTGTAGGTGTAGTGTGGCTTGTGGGGCATGGCAGGGGAAGGATACTGTAAAATTTTTTTTTTTAAAATAAAAGTTTTATTTAAGTTTTCACAAAAAATACAAATAAAATATCTTTTTTTGAGAACAGCATGGCCCCGGGTTATCACTTCTCCATACAGACATAAACTCAATACATATTTATCTTATACATTCTTTTAACTATTTTCACAATTTTTTCAATAGCTTTTCCCTTTCTTTACTTTCTATAGCCTTATTTTAAATTATCTCATTCCTTTCTTAATTCAATTACATATCTTTTTCTAATTTTTAAAATCTTTCTAATCAACGTTTTTATACTTTCATCTGTCCTGTTTACAATTTCATATTATCTTTTCTCATAAAAGAAATTTCCCCCTGTAATTACTAGACAGGAGTGTAACACCTTTATATCTTTTTTCAAATCTTATTTAAAAATTTAAGTTACATCTTTACAGTTATAACATTCATTTTCTAACCTCTATTTTATAACACATACCTATTTTCAATCGAATTCTGCTTGGTACATTCCGTTAAAAATACACACTAAATTCTTAAAAGAAAAAAGTATATATGTATATATATCTGTGTATATATGTATAACAATAGTAAATGGAATAATTATTCTATTCAAGTACAGCTCTGCCATTAATAACAATTTTTTACATTTCTATTTCTTTTAACAAACATTACCTAGTAATATCAGTTGTCTTTCATTTTAATCATCTATATTTCATATTTTACTTATTACTGTTTTTAAATAAAAAACCAAACAATAGTTATTAACAGTAGTCAATAAAGTTATTATTCTTATTCAAGTTCATCTTATCAACTGATAAAAATCTTCCATGTTTCTTTTCAGTTTTTTTTTAATATTCTTTTTAAATCACTGAGGGCCTTATTCTCTTTACAAACAAATATTCCACTACGCATCAATAGAAATTTTTTCTATCACTTTAATCATCTAACATATTGTATAACAATGCTATCCCATGCACCCTTGCAGAATCCTCTCCTTAAGTTAAATTTTAACCATTCTCTCTATGTCTTTTAAATAGGTTTATACCTTTAATTCTTGTATGTTTTTCCTGTAACTCTATATCTTGTTTTGTCTTGTGTAGCTTCTTTTCCTTTCCCTCTTTCCTCACTTCTTCTCCTTCCCCCTTTTATTCCCTTTTCTATCTGATTCTCCCTTCTGTGATCCTCCCTTCTGCTTCTTCCTGATATTATGGTTGCTTTTCAAATGGTTGCTGAATATCCTCTCTGGTATTTTTCTAAATAAGGCAGCAGGTATATTTGGACAAGTGTGACAAAAAGAACCGGGGTCAAGCATGATTAAAAACTGGAGCCGGATGGGTCTGTTGGCTCTGAATATTTGGAGGACATAGTTGGAGTTTTTAGATAGAGGAAAGGCTTTTATAGGAGTAATGGAGAAGAAGATCCAGACAAAATTTAGAAGAAATCTCCCAATGGTGTGGTGTGAATTTTTTTGAAGGGATGTCTTATTTGATTTTAAAGGCATTTGTGGATTGATTGCAATAGCAAGGAGTGGGGGGGGGGGGGGGGGGGGAGAATTGGTGTCATTTCAGGACACTGGATTTTTTTTTTAGTCCATCATCTGCTTGTGCACATGTAATTTATATGTAAGTTTCTATTTGTTTGCTATGACCTCAAAACAGTAATCAAGGGTAATCAGAGTTATCCTAGATCAATAATAGCTATCTCCCAAAGTATTTTCTCTTATTCCTTCTTTCTCAATGGTTCACTATCAGTGTTCACTATCATACATTATTAGGCGGGATCACCACTGCACAAGATCGTTTTGTTTCTGTTTTATCACTACCCTTATCTTCCATGTTTATTTGTTTGTTTATCTGTGCTGCTAAATATGGAATGTCTTGCATCCCATTGTGGAGGAGTATGGAGACAGCCTTGAAAAAAACTATCCATTGGGAAAATACAAACTTAGTCCAAGAAACCATGACAGGGTAAGGAAAATGCTCAAGATTGCCCTGCCTTGAGTCTCTTTGGTATAAAAGGGAAAGAAGGAGAAATTTGGTTCGGTTTTCAAGATTCTGTTATTATAGCGTGTAGAATAGAATACTTTATTAGCCAAATGTGATTGGACGCACAAGGAATTTGCCTCCAATGCATAAGTTCTCAGTGTACATACAAGCAGCAAGTGATAAATCATGATCCTAATAAAAAAAAAAATACAATCACCATCAATCATAAGATACAGCAGTCAGTGATAGTCATAGGATACTAAATAATCAACACAAATCATAATAGGATACCAAATAAAAGCAATCCACATAAATCATGAGATACAAATGGCAAAGTTATAGTCATAAAAAGCTATTCAATAGGTTAATAGGAAAGATGAGAATAATAATAATAATGCAGCCGTGCTACCTTAGGTAGTTTGACATCCCACGGCATAAGACAGTGTTGTGGGAATTACTTCGAATTAGCAGAGTGATAGCATGGAGGTGGGGGGAGGAGAATGTCTGGTTGTTTTGGTGTGCAATGTACTATAGCATCGTCCTGAGGGAAGAAGTTGAAACAGTTTATGTCCGGGATGCAAGGGGTCTACTCTGTAGATATTTTCACAGCCCTCTTTCTGTCTCATGTAGTATACAAGTCCTCAATGGAAGGCAGGCTGGTTGCAATTATTTTTTTCCTGCAGTCCTAACTATCCGTTGAAATCTGTGTCTGCTTTGTTCAACTGCTGTGCCAAACTAGATAGTTATAGACAGGGCTGGGATGCTACCGGTTCTGCCCGGTTCTATGGAAGAGCCCAGGTGGGTGGGTGGGCCAAACAGCATCAAACACAGAACTGGTTCGGCATCTGTGTTTGCTGCTGTTTGGCCCACCCACCCACCCACCTGGGCTCTTACCTTATTATTTATTACCTTATTATTTATTACTCTTACTTTATTTCCTGCTTTTTCAACCTCAGCTGCTTTGCGTGGTACAGCTGAGGTTGAAAAACAGGAAAAAAGAGGGTTTTCAAACGGTGTGCCCCCGCGCGCAGCGCTTTTCAGCTGTCCAGGCGGCACAGCCGATGTTTTTTTTTTTACAGGCGTAGTCACCGAACCAGTAGTAACACCGGTTGAACCCCAACCCTGGTTATAGAGATGCAGATGGCAATAATTTTTGTGTAGAACTGTATCAGCAACTCTTTGGGAAGCCTGAGATTTCTGAGCTGGCCCAGAAAGAATATTCTCTGTTGTGATTTTCTGATGACTTTTTGATGCTGGTGTCCATTTTAAGTCTTGAGATATTGTGGAACCTAGAAACCTGAAGGTCTCTACCGTTGATACTGTATTGTCTAATTTTGTAAGAGGTGGTAGAATGGGAGGGCTTCTCCTAAAATCTACTATCATCTGTACAGTTTTGAGAATGTTCAGGATTGTTTCAGCCGCACTACAGGGCCACTTGTTCAACTTTCTGTCTATATACAGATTCATCATTGTCTTAAATGAGACCAATGAACTATTGAATCATCTGCAAACTGCAATACTTTAACAAAGGGATTCTTTGAGATACAGTAGGTGGTGGAGTGAGTGAAAAATCATTGAGACAGCATCCAGCCCTGGGGGACACCTGTGCTAATTGTACAGGTATCTGATGTGATTTTTGCCTAGTTTCACCTGAGCTTCCTATCTATTAGAAAGCTTTTGATCCACTAAAAAGTGTGTTCAGGCACAGCTGGCTGAGTCAGTTTAGTAAGAAGAATATCTGGAATGATGGTATTGAATGACGAGCTGAAGTCTACATAAAGGACCCTTGCATAGGACCTTGGAAATTCAAGATATTGTAAGATGTAGTGCAGTACTATATTAACAGCATCATCTGCTGATCTATTTGCTTGGTAGGCAAATTGCAAGGGGTCTAATAGTGGATCTGTGATGGTTTTCAGGTGGGCCAGCATTAGCCTTTCAAAGGTTTTCATAACTACAGATGTTAGAGCAATTGGTCTGAAGTCGTTCAGTTCCTTGATGGAGGGTTTCTTCAGCACTGAAATGATAGAGCGTTTGAAGTTGGAATGGAATAGAATAGAATTCTTTATTGGCCAAGTGTGATTGGACACACAAGGAATTTGTCTTGGTGAAAATACCTTGGAAGTCTTCAGTGGTCGCCAATCTTTTGGACCTCAGGGACCACCAAATTCATAATTTTAAATTCCGTGGACCAGAGACCCTGGGAAAATCCCCCCCAAAAGTCTGCAGGAAAATTCCCCACCCCGTTTTCCTACCGATCAATCATTCTTTATTTGGGATCGCAGGATAACAGCTCCAGCTCCATTCTCAGGGGAAGAGAGAGAGAGACTTTTGGCTTCATGCAAGAAAAGCAGCAGAAGCAACAAGTCTTTCTTTCTCTCCCTCAAATTCTGCCAGAAATGAGTCTTTGTGAGACTTGTCACGCCGGCGCAGCCTCTTGGAGCAGGATGCCTTGCAGGGTCCCAAAGACTCATTTCTGGCAGAGTTTGGGGGAGAGAAAGAAAGACTTTTGCTGCTTTCCTTCTGTGCAGCCAAAAGCAGAAGAAGAAAGAGGCAGAAAAAAGCAGCCTGGTGACCAGGCAAGGTGTGTGGGGTGAGTGGGGAAAGTTCTCCCTCTCCACCCTTCCTCCCCTCCCCTCATTACCTCGTGTTGTTCACAATGCAAGCGACACAAGCCTTGTCTTCCCACAGGCCATGTGGGTGGCACAGCCTTCTGTTCCCGCACAGCCTGGATTAATTGCTTTGGGGGTGACATTTCTCTGCGGACCACCAAAATTTTCTCGTGGACCACCAGTGGTCCCCAGCCTACTGTGTTATGTGTTATTAAAGATGTGGATACAGATACAGATTAACAGAGTTGGAAGGGACCTTGTAGGTCATCTAGTCCAACCCACTGCCCAAGCAGACCCTATACCATTTTTGACAGATGGCAGTCCA